TATTATAATCAACCAAACATCACCACTTGATGTTATTAATATGCAAAGCAGAAAGGTTGGGGCTGGAGTGCATGTTACGTGGCTGATTCGTTGGACCCCGCCTGCATCGGGGTGGATCAAAGTGAATTCAGATGGAGTTGTTTATAACAACACGAGCTTGAGTAGTACTTGAGGTTTGCTTCGTGACGAGTTGGGTAGATGGATCGAGGGTTTCCTCATGAATATTGTGTTGAGTTCTATTAGGAACGTCGGCTATGTGCACATTCATATCTATTAAATAATAAATCCTATCACAGCAAAATCTATAGTTAAGATTAGGACTTACGATTTAAACTTTTTGCTGACTCTGATACGTTTCTGATTTCCTCCGTTGGAGATCGTCTGAACCTCAGAGTCCGTTGGACAACCGGACTTAGCCTCATCAATGCTTTTCGGTTGCTTCTCGGGCTCGTCGGATTGTCTCGGACTTTCGGTAGGTAAATCGTACGAACTCGTCGTTGGGTCAAACTGGGGCTTCTAGACCGAGCTGGACTGGTTCGCGTCGGGCCGAACTGGACTGGGTCGGGCTGGAACGAGTCTGGGCTCACTGGCCTAGTCAGGTCAAGTCTGGGCCGAACTGGGCTCGCTGGGCTTTGTTTGCGCGCGTTGGGTCGAGGATGGCTGCGTCTGAGCCGAGGGCTACGCTGTTGGGCTCGGTCGCGGGTGGTTCTCATGCAGACAGACGCAGGGGCGCGCGGGATGGTCGGGCATGGGCGTCGCGTGCACGTAGGACGAGCGAGGGCTTCGCAGATCCTGCTCCGATCGCGTCTGGGGCACGCGGGTCACCTGGGTGCTTCGCGTGTAAATTAATTCTTGAGCCATTTTAGGGGTCATTGAACTTGAAAATCATCAATTATTGAAGCAAATTAATGCTTTTATAACTTATATGTATAAATTAAAAAAAATGTATATTATGTGTACAAATGGGTTTTCGGTTCGGTTCGGTTAACCGATCACGATTATCCAAACCGAACCGAAAACCGAAATTTTAAGAAAATGTAAACTGAAAACCGAACCAAATATTCGGTTTCGGTTTCGATCCAAACCGAATTTTCAGTTTCGGTCGGTTTTGGCTAGGTTAACCGAACTTTGTGCACCCCTACAATGTTGCACGGACAGGGAGTAAATCAAAAGTTGATAGAGATGTGAAATAAAACAAAGTGAAAAACACAAATAGAGGTCTTGGCATCCTTTAAATTTCTAGAGAACCGGAGATCTACTACTTTCGAGCTAGCGCAACCTTTTCAAGCACACAAAAATGCATTGCACTAAACCTAATAGAAAATTTGCCCCGTGCACAATTTTTTTTCTGCCATTGTTGGTTATGACTAAACTCGAAAGCAATAAAGAGTTTCACCAGTCTGCAGTCGTTTAGATACTCTGAGTTGTCTATATTCTTTATAGGTGAATGGGACAAACAAACGAGGATGTTCTGACCCGATGATTTCTGATGGCGCCTCTATACTATCCTCCTTTGGTCCCAACAAAAATGAAGCAACTGAGATTCTCACGCCCGGTTCCTTGCACATAACTCTGTGTTTCACGTTCAAGAATCTCCCGTTGCTCCACACCTTCTTTCATGCAACGAATTAATCCAGGTTTTATAATACTCAACTTAAGCACACATTTTATAAAGACTAATGATCACAACTACTAACATGATAAATTTAGCTCAATTATACTGCAACCTAAAATTACTTTCAAAGTTAGACTGATCACAGATTCTGATATGATCACCAATTATGAAGAATAAAATCATGAATAACTGAAATAAAGAATTAGTATTCTACATTAATTAATTATGTCAAATGTAGCTACAGGAATCGAATTTTTCTTTCAAATTAGGGGTGGGCAAAAATTTGGTTGTTTGTTTTAAATTTTAATAGAATCAATACTCTTTCGTTTAGTTGATATGTTTGTCCCGTTTTGTCCCAGTCCCGGACAATTTTGTCCTTGTCCCAAACGATACCGGTCCATTTGGGACGGTGCCTCATCCGGGACCGTTCCCAGACCGGTTCATAAAAGTGGGATCGGTACCGGGACAAGTCAAATCCCTGACCGCGCCCACATCTATTTCAAATTCACTATATCAGTGTAAAGTTTTTACTTACAGCAGCAATATCACCAAGATTGACAAGAAGAGTTCCAGGGCAGGGATCAACGGCCACAAATTCTCCACATCTTTTCATCACTTCAAGCCCACCAATAACATCATCATCTTGAAGCACAGTAAGGAAGCTAGAGTCAGTGTGGAGCTGCACTCCAGGGGAATTCACAGTCTCCGGGGTAAAATCGTATCGATTAATCCTAAACTGGCAAGCCCAATCCTGTATTGAGAGCCCGTCAATAAGCCCGAGGCTTTGCCCGATTTTTGCCGCAATTTCGGCCATCAGCTTGTTCACCGCATTAGCATAGTTCAACATAACTGACCTGATGAATTATTAAAGCTCCATTATGAATTGAATTGATGAGAAAAATTAGGGCAAATTGCAAGTGAAGGTAGGTAAAGGTAAAGGTAACCTTTGGTGTGGGGTTGCTCCCAAATTGTCGCAGAAGGCGTTGACAGCGAGAGGAGAGGCCATATCGTAAAGGCCCAATGCCTGGTAAAGGGGATTGATTTGGGAAGGAGGCATATAGCCGCTGCCGGCAATGGCGACGTCGGCGTTCCTGGACTTGATCTCAGGGGGGAGCTCGAGCAACGACCTCACCACACACTTCATCTCCATCATCAATGGTTCCTCCAAAAACCCACCAACATTCACGATCCTGAAACAACCCCACTCCTCGCACGCCCCAATAATAACATCCCCCGCCGGATTCCTATATCATTCCCAATGAGTAGAATGTCATCAACATAGAGAACAACAAATGAAACTGCATTCCCACTAACCTTCTTATAAAAACATGGGTTATCCGGATTCTTATGAAAATCAAACGTTTTGATTGTTTCATCAAACCGAATGTTTCAACTCCTCAAAGCTTGTTTAAGTCCATAAATGGACCTTTGAAACTTACAAACCATTTGCTCGCTCCCACTGGATATGAAACCCTGCGGTTGTTTCATATAAATGTCTTCCTTATGTTTCCA